CAGCTGTTCGAATTGGCCAGGGCCCAAGTGAACCCTAACAAGACCTGGACCTACAGGGATGAGTCCTACGGGCATACTTTAGCTTTGCTCGGCAGACGGCGAGGTGGCAAATTTTCCATGTATGCTGTTTCCTGTCAAGTTCTCAGACGATTCCTGGCAGCTAACAGAGTTCCTCGAGTCGGCACGTGATCCTGGGGAGGAAAAAAACACGTGCAGTCGATCGTCTGCTTGCATATGTTTGTTATATTTTTGGGAGGCATATACAGTATTTAACAGTGCTTAATTAAGCATTGCTTATGTACTTTATATACCATGCTTAAATAGACACTATGTTGCTTAATCAAGATGACCAAAGATATCTAAAAATTATTTAAACATCTTTGGAAGCTCTGGGTTCGTAGGTAGCTCCTGCAATTGTCGCTAGTGCCGTTTACACGTTTGATTGTTACTTCGCGTATTGTTTGCTGGCGAACCGACAGCTTGGTGCAGACCAAGAACAAGTCGAGAGTGAAACTTTGCAAACGCCAAAAGATGATTTACCAACCCAAAGTCAAGAAACGATGTATTAAGCTTTAGGCGGGGTACGTGCAAGACAATCTCCAAGATGTGAGCCGCTTCTCGGCGAGACATGGCGGACGTCGAGTGCCATTGCATCTCACTTCTTCGTTGGTTTTGACGTTGTGGTGGTATTGCAATGCTTAGTTTTGCTTTTAACAAAACTGATGAAACAAGTAAAGATGCATAATGCGACTGGGCCACGTGCTGCATATCTATCCATGCCGTTGTCGGCTGCCAGTGTTTTGGAGTTTTTCGTTTGCTAAGAAGCGAAGCAAATGGTGGTTCTGGCAGGTGTGTTTCGCCTTGCAGCTTAGCCACTGTTTCTGTTGGACTTCATGTTCCTTAATGGTGATTCGGTTAGTTTAGAACCGACTCCGAGCCATGGGCAGTCCTGCTGTTGAGACGGAGTGCCTCGGAATCAAATGCTGTAGGCATGCAGATGCATTAGGCAGGGGTTTCCAGCTTCGGCGTAAGCCTGCAGCCATGTCGAAACGCGATTGCAAGGGGCCGTAATCAAATCATCCCTCGGTCTCGGTCGGCGGCGATGTCACTCGACGCTTTGTAAATCTGGTTGCAATCGATGCGGCGTTGCTGGGTCATTTGACACCTCGCGATGGCATACAGTGCTGTTCGCGACTATAGAAGTCACGCACAGCGTCCTGCACGGCATCCAAGGCGAGACGTCGATCTGTCTTCGACCACGTTAGGTTCTCCGTGAGTGCTCGCGGCACGCAAGAAAAGGTAGACTCCTGTGAAGGCCTTCGAAGAGCGACACCACACGATCCACGCCCGATACATCCGTTTTTGCTCCGCCGTCCACGGAATATTTCGAGGAACAACATCTCCTGAGTATATTGTGGCCCCAAGCCTTCGCAAACTCTCGCAACCGTTCCCGCGGGCTCGAGCTCGTAGACTCGATTTGTCATTGGAGTCTTTCTTCATAGTTCGAAGACGTTAATGTTTGTCAATTGTGAGAGCGAGCGAAGCTGCGTGGTTTTACTCGAAGATGTTCAGATGAGACAACAATTGCCAGCGTTTGTAGGAGTTCCTTCCGTACGTTTCCCGCACTCAGTGTGTCGCGGAAACCACCAAGGCAGCTGTGTGGTGCAGACCTCTCGCTGCTGCTGACGTGTCTTGTCTAAGGCACACAGTGCGCTTTGGTGAGGTCGCGCAGGTCCAACTCAGATGGACAACAAGCATTCATGTTCTGATACCCCGGTTGACAAACATTTTTGTTGACAGATGTGGGCAGCGCTTCCAAAGGCATGATATCGCTCGTGGGTTTGTGTGACCCACATATGGATGAGTCAGATTCCGCATACACCATGAACACTTGTGAAGCTCAGGTTGGGAATTGGCCTCTGGAGGCTTTGAACCGGACTCTCGTGTCGGGTTTGGGGTTTTTGACGACACCGTTTACAGACGCCCAGTGCCATTAATAGGTCGTACTGTTGGGTCTAAGTCCGAGGTCTTCAAGATGTGGCAGTTTTGCACTGCTGACACAGAAGCCTTGCTGCACGTGCATTAAGGCAAGCAGTTGATGAAGAGGAGCCCGCAAAACGGCTCAGTTGTGGGCAGTGTGCGGCTTCAGTTTCGCAGTCATCGAAAATGACGGGAGCAAAGTGGGGTAGAGAACGATAGGCCAAGCATCTTAGCCGGTCATCTTCGGATTCGGGAGGGTAGGCGACATGCCAAACCTGGAGGCGGCTGGACATGTCAGAGAGCTGCCTGCAAGCATTCCTGGAGCCGAAGTGATGGACACCTGGCAGGCTTCTTGCGTTGAGTCTCGTGTTCTTTTGTTTTAGCTCGGTTTGGAGTCTTTATTCAAGCGCAGTATGTCTGAACCAGCTGGTTCACGAACTTGAGCCGGAAAAGATCATGCAGAACCTTCATTTGAGAGAATATTAATATGGCAAATCGCTTCATGGAAGCCTGGACTTGGCACCTAACATCGACATGACAGCATGTAACGTCACATTCTACTACAGTATTATTACATATCTTACTAGCATGATTGATGTTATACTATACTGCATGATATGATGTGACATTATATCTCGCATCGTATCATATCCATGTTATGCTGTATGGCATTCACTCCGGTGCTCGGAACCCTGGCTCCAAGTGCGCCGAGGAGTCCGAGGATGTCTCGGCGTGGAGGTTGAGGTGCCTCGGCCCCCAAAGGGGAGAAATCGCTGCGATGGGGTGGCTAGGTGTTCTCTTCGAAGTTTCGGCAACAGGAATGCTGGTTCTTGTTCTTGCTCTTCTGGAGTCCACTGAGGCCACCAGCAGGGTACAGGCCACCGCTGTGTTCGGTGCCGGCAAAGCGGGCCGAGAGCTTTGAGCACGCCCTGGGGCTCGGCGTCCCGGCGAATGCGAGAGTTTACCTTAAGCTGTAGCCTTGTAGTAGAGGAACCATGCTGTCTTCTGCATTCTTCCAGTTTCACTTCACGCTCTTCTAAGGCGTCGCGGCGGCAGGAAGGAGCCATTCCAAGCCGCTGGCAGGCCCGTCCTGCCTAGGGCCTAGGGCCTCGGGAGCATCACAGCTGTACATCCTGTAGGCAACTGTTGTCAAAGCGAGTAGGGCTGACTCCTAGATCCTGACCCAGACTCAAATTTGCTGTTGTCGTTGTCGTTTGCAGCAACAGACACTGACAGGCTTGGTGGGGTGATGCGGACGTGTCTCGGTTGAGTTGGAAGCAGTTTGGCGAGTGGTCTGAGCGCCTTCGTGTATTTTGCGCTGGAGCTTCGGCAACAGGAAAGCTCTGTCAGCAAGTGCTCTATGCATACCACTACTGAATGGCAGGGCGGCTATCGAAACAGAAGATGTGGGGAAAATCACATCTTGTGTGATTTTGTATCTGTGTAACGGCCGACAGCTTCGACTACACGAAGATTCGCCGGACATTGTCTGATTGAGTATTTCAATGTCTTTGCCCACATATGTCCAGGTGTTTGCGCAGGTAGGTGTGTGTTTTGGTTGATTCTCACGTCTGTACGAATATGTATGCGTGGCGTATGTATGTCTGTATGTGTGAATACATGTATGAATGTATGTCCGTCTGCATGTCTGTATCTCTGCATGTCTGACAAAGTGGTATGCACGCACGCACAGACACATATCTTTGTATGCATGCCAATTAATGCATGCATGCGTGCATGCAGCCCATGTACGTGTAGACATAGGTACATACATAATTGCACACACGGACATGCAGAGCTGAAGCAGAACCCAGAGACACGGCATGTAGATGTACATATGAGTTTAGAGACTATACGCATTGCATGTTTAGAAGACGGCAGTGTGCTCATAGTGCATGCATGCAAAGATGTACATATGTATGTATGTATGTATGCATGCATGCATGCATGCATGTATGCAGGTAGGTAGGCTAGGCAGGCAGGACGGCAGGCAGGCAGGACGGCAGGTAGGTAGGTAGGCAGGCAGGCAGGTAGGTAGGTAGGTCTGTCGGTATGCAGGTGTGCAGGCACATAGGTATGCAGTGTGTCTGCATGTGTTCCTTGTATCGGTCTATGTTTTCTGTTGTGAATCCATCAGTCCGTCCCTGTCTCCCTCTCTCTGTCTCTCTTTCTGGCTGTTTGAATGTTAAAGCTTGTGGCTCAGGTCCGTGGTCTGGTCTGCAGGATAGCCGAGTGCAGCGGCGAGGAGTTGCTCGCTCTTCTCGCATGGCCGGCTCAGTGCCGTATTCCGCTACGGCGTCCCTGTCCTGGCTTCGTTTGCGCGGACTGACGAAGCCTCAGTGCCGCCCAACCTCATGGGCTCGAAGAGCGGCAGGAAGGTGATGCGTCAAAGCAGGTCCGAGCAAGAAAGTGCTTCGAAAGCTGCGCGCATTTGTGGGATTTCTTTTGGTGCCTGACAGGCTGGTCGCAAGTGTCCGCGAAGTCCGCTGCTGCTGGTGATGGAGAAGGTTTGGTGCGAATTGACATCTTCCCGAGCATAGTGGGTGTTGAGGAGTACCAGCTGCTAGTTCCCAGTGGTGCTCGCAGCTATTCTTGTCACTGGTCCCTACCTCTTCAAGTAACACCCTACTACGGTTGATGATATAATTCCTGCATTGCCCATAATAAGGAATATACCATAATTCTCATAGTTTAAGGCCATTAAGGTAATGCAGGATTTCTATCATCAACAGTACCATGTGTGGGAAGCCATGCCAGAAGTAGCCATGCGCCATCTAAAATTATCCTCACGCGGTTGTTCATCGTGGTTTGTGAAGTCCTTCCCGGAAATCCCTTTCTGCTGGATGCAGGTGGCACAGTCTTTGTTGCCGCTTCTGACACCTCAAGATGCCGTCTCGGACATGGTCAGCTCAGAAGGCAACATGATGATGCCCGGAGTGGACTTGTTCACCCGCTTCTCAGCTGAGTACCTGTTTTTGAGTACCCATAGGCCTTGTTTCTGATCCACGACCAAGGCTCACGTCGTCTCGGGTCACAGGCAGCCCCGCTTGACCATGGGACCTTCAATGAATCCTCGAGGAGCTGAGCTCAGTGAGGGCTTTGTGGGGGCATGATTTCAGTGGTTTTTCTCCTGGGTTGGGAAGTTGCCGAAGTTGCGATCTTGGGTCCAAGCGAGATGTAAAGGACATCTGTCTAACCGCCAGGTTCGAGATGGCGCATCCCAGTATCTGTGCTAGTTGACCACCCGCAGATCGGGGATCCGAAACTCTGTGGATTCTTTCCTTCATTGTCATCATATACAATACAACATAATTAAATAATATATTATAATAGAATATAATTATACTACACTAAACTATACTATAATGCAATACGATATATTCATCGTGATCGTGGCAAGAAGCCCCGTGATCGCACAGAGGCCCACGCGCTGAGCGACTCCGTCTGCCTCGTGTAGGCTGGGTCGCTGGGTCCTTCCAACAAGAGCACAGTCCTTCAGTGAGAGTCTGTGAGCTCGGGTCCGCGAGCTAAGTTAAACCTTCTTAGACTCTGGCACACGATCTGGATCAGACGCGAGCGCCATGTGTCCCAAACGGAGCAGACTACAAGATCGAAGCCCAGGCCTTGAGCCAGAAACTGCCTGGCCAGCCATAGCTCGAGCCGAAGATCCCCTGAAGCCTGAAACTCCCAGTTTCCCTAAGCTCCAAACCCTCTCCGTCCTGAGCCATGGCGGACTTTGACCCCACGGACTACGATGGCAGGGACTTCTGGCTCAGAGGGGAAGGGCCGGGACATGGAAAGACACCCTGAGCTCCTTGTTCTCAAGATCCCAGGGCCCCCTGAATTGCTTGCTGAGGCGGGCGATCCTTTGAACCCGGACGAGCCGGAAGATGAATCGGGCGGCCCGAATCCGCAGGATGCAGCTCGCGGGCTTCTTGGGGTTGCTTTCAGGAACTCTGCGGTGATTGACTCACCAAGAACTCACCGACTCTAGAGGCTATGTGCTTGACTGACTTTCCTGCCGCAGTGGCTCGAGCGAAGGCCCTACGCAACATCAGAGCCATGTCCAGATTGCGTAGGTATCAGGAGGCTCTGGCTGCAGAGGTGCTACGGCCTGGAAACCATGTGATCCATCTTCAAACAGGGGCCGGCAAGACTCTCATAGCCTTCCACCTGATTTTGGAGGCCCTGGAACGGCATCGCGGGAAGTTGGCGTATTTCCTTGCCCCCACAGTGCCCCTGGTCAGGCAGCAGCATGAAGATTTTCAGACAGAGGTTAGGGCGAAAAGCTTGTCGATTCAAGCTGGCATTCTTGCTGGAGGGCGCAGAACAAACCTTGGACGTTGCCACGTGGTTTTCGCAACGCCTGGTTCCGTCCGAGAGGACATCGTTGGAGGGCATTTGAGCACAATATCTTTGATCGTTTTGGACGATGCTTGTCCCAATAGAGGCGCACTCTTCGTGTGCAAGCAGGCATCTGACTCCCGTAGCCTCCCTTTCTGCAGCTCAGGAGGTGCACCATGTCGTGGCCAAGCGGGGGAATGGTGGCCATGACTACTCGCACATCGCGGCGGCTTATTCTAAACAGCCGCGTCTGCAGCGGCCGAAACTCCTTGGCTTGACGGCTTCGCCTGCTGATGCTTGCTGATATCTAGTGTTTTGGTGACGTAGACCTAGACCCAGCTGAAGATTTTTGGGACAAGTCAGCCGCGAGCCGCTTCAGGAAAGTGTGGAGCAGACGAGCAGGCTGCTGCAGCGCCTGGAAGCCCAGCTGGTGCAAGTGCCGGAGGAGTTGGGAGCAGAGCTTCGGCAGCAGGTGCCCTCAGCGGTGCTGGTGAAGGAGGCTGTCGCTTGCAGCGAAGCGTTCCGTGCCTTCATGGCTGCAGCAGAGACCCGACGGAAAGAGCTGCAAAGGGTGCAGTCTGCGCTGTCTCTTGGCTGGTCAAGCTGTGTCGGGAGTGGTGCCAGAGTTTGTCGTGGGCTTTAGACCCCGGGAACATCTGAGGTCGCCTGAAAGCAGTGAGTTCTTCCAGGTAACAACTCAGATGAAGAGAGTCGCCGAGCTTGCAGCGCATGTTCGATGCTTCGGATGGGACCCAACAGCTTTTCCGGAGATCGAGATGCCTGAAGTTCCTGCAGAACTGAAGCCAAGATGGGACCAGCTGGTAAAGCACTCCCGATTCGGGCTTTCTCCTTGCTTTAATTGCCTGCTGTCCCTTCTTCAGCAGCCTGATTCTGGTGAGTTTCGTTGCATCGTGTTCGTGGAAACACGAAACACTGCAAGGAACATGGTAAGAGCCTTGAGGTCGGTAGCTGCCCGCAGAGCTGAGCTGGGCTGGCTCTTGCCTACCTGCCTAGTGGGCCATAACAAACGATGTGCTGAAGAGGAGGACACCATGACCATTGCGCAGCAAACTGAGATTCTGGAGAACTTTCGTCAGGGAAATGCCAACGTTATGGTGGCAACCTCCGTTGCAGAAGAAGGGATTGATATCCCTTGCTGCAACGTCGTTGTGCGACTGGAGCCTGCTCGGACGGTGATCAAGTTCATTCAAGCTCGGGGACGAGCAAGGTATCCGAACAGTCGATATGTGGTCATGTGTTGCGATTCCGAGGAGGAGAGGCTTCTCGCGGAGGTCGAGGCGCGGGGATCCGCGCTGCAGCAGCAGCTTCGGAGTCTGAGTCCATCCCCGGCAGCCGTGAATTGCTGGAGCACCCCGGGCCCGGCGGCACTGGAGCCGATCTTGGCCTTCGACCCGGCAGCCCGCGCGCGCAAGGACTTTCCGAGCGGTCTGCGAGTTAAGCTGGAGGAGATGGTGGTTGACATCGACACCCTAATGCCTACTCAGGCCACCGTCCGTAAGACTTTTTCTGATGGCCGTTGTGTCCTGGAGACCATGGTTCGGCTGGTGCAGCGCCCGGACGACATCCCAAAGCTTCCGCTGGTGTGGGTTTGCAAGGGGCGTGCGAAGTTGCTGGGCAGGCGATCTCCTGTTTCGGATCCCGCGAAGGAGATCTGGCTTTCTGCAGATAATCGCCGCTGCTTTCTTCTTAAAGTTATTGCCCCGTTGTGTGATCATCACCGCGTGCGCGTTGTCAGAATGGAATGGACGGATGAGATCGATGCCAAGCTGAAGCAGTGCCCTCAAACCGATGCCTGGGCAACGGACCTGAAGAGCATTGAGCGCGTCCGTCAGGAAGTTCTCGACAGGCTCACAGGCGTAGAGCGACCTCTGAAGTGCCAGAAGCATGTCGACTCCAAGGGCTTTAATGCCAACGAAGATTACGTGTCGAAGCTGAACTTGCACATGCAGAAACAAAGTCGGCCACATGCAAAACAGTCGGTCGCGGACTACGAGGAGCTTCCTCGCAGCAGTGGGTGCCACATCGGCAGTTTCTCGTACCGGGTGCTTGTTAAGAACAGGGTCTTTCATGGAGACCCCCAGCCAAAGGTCAAGGCAGCCAAGCAAGCTGCCGCTTATGCTGCTTGTGTCGAACTCGGTTTGGGAGACCTCTGAGCACAGGCTGCGGTTACGAAGAGGACAAAGATCCGAGAAAAGAGCGTTTAGCTTCGACCTGCGCCTTAACCCCAACATCAACCACACGCAACGCCTGGTGCTGGTTAGACTGATCTGGGTTGTGCCTGTTGCTTTGTGCTTTGCTCACGTTTGTCCAGGGCTAAAGCCTTGTTTTTTGCCTCCTCGGGTACCCAGTTCACGGTTTTGATATGCGTAAGACCCGATGGACACCTGGACCAGTCCACTTCACACAGAATAAGAGTCCGGGTTTGACGGATACTACAAAACCCGGACTTCACCGCTCACGCTGGGAGCTCGCGATTCGCAGGATACCCCGCAATTGAAGGATGCAGTGCTCTTTGTCATCGATGCCTCCAGCAAGGAGTCTTGCCATAGTGCTCGAACACCCAATCGTTGTTATCTGACGGCAGTGACCCATCGTGGTTGAAGACAGATGTCAGTGCACTTAGGTTTCTCCTTGTTGCTGGTGTAAAATCGTAGATTGCTTGCGCCTTAGTGGCAGTGGCATGGCTAGATGGACTGAAGCAGCTCGCCCAGCACTTCCAATTAGATTAGCTCGAAGCTGATCTGCACCACTCTCCCTCGGGTCTGGATTAGATCCCAGAGTCGATCACACTGCGAGGACTGCCTCAAGCCGCTGAAGCCCGATGGCCGTTGCCTGCTGGCCGAGACTTGGGTGTACCTTAGTGGTCTGTGTTCGCTGCAATACGGTTCTTGCTTCCTGGCAGCCCGGTCGAGAGGAGATTCGTCAGACCATGCAGAGTTGGTTTCAGTGTCCTTGAAAGGAAGCCATGGCATCTGCGGCTTCGGTCCTGAAAGCGAAAG